AGCCATCTAATTTTCCTCGTTTTTAGCAGCTATATGAATTCTTAAATGACCCCACATTTCTGGAGGCGCAGGAAGCTGCGTTGTGCAGTTTCTGTAGTGTAGTGGTTATCACGTTCGGCTAACACGCGAATGGTCCCCTGTTTGAATCCGGGCAGAAACATATGGATTTTGATACATTTTTAGAATTTTTTAGAAGGGAAAGCCATTTGTATCTAGTAGATGTTGATATGATATCAAACAAGGAAAGCGAAAACTTGCCTTGACATCAGGAAAGTAACAATGAGTTCCGATCTCACCAGCTATCAGACCCGAATGTTTCTGCCCGGTTTCGAACCGGGGACCTTTCGCGTGTGAGGCGAACGTGATAACCACTACACTACAGAAACAGTTATATATTTGTACTTTGCCTGAAAATGTCGTACTTTCAGCAGACATCTACTTTTCTCATTTTTAGCAGCTGTATGAATTCTTAAACGACCCAAATTTCTGGAGGTGCAGGAAGCTGCATTGTGCAGTTTCTGTAGTGTTGCGGTTATCACGTTCGCCTAACACGCGAAAGGGCTCCGGTTCAAAACCGGGCAGAAACATTGGGAATTTAATGCAATTTTATAACATTAACGTGATTGTAGATGTTGATATGATATCAAACAAGGAAAGCGAAAACTTGCATTGACGTCAGGAAAGTAACAATGAGTTCCGATCTCAACCAGCTATCAGACCCAAATGTTTCTGCCCGGTTTCGAACCCGGGAACTTTTCGCGTGTGAGGCGAACGTGATAACCACTACACTACAGAAACAGCGGTATGGCTGTACTTTGCCTAAAAATGTCACGCTTTCAGTAGACATCTACTTTTCCTCGTTTTTAGCAGCTGTATGAATTCTTAAATGACCCAAATTTCTGGAGATGCAGGAAGCTGCATTGTGCAGTTTCTGTAGTGTAGTGGTTATCACGTTTGCCAAACACGCGAAAGGTCCCCGGTTCGAAACCGGGCAGAAACTTCAGGATTTGATACATTTTTAGAACATTAAAGGGAAAGCCATTTGTATCTAGCAGATTTTGACATGATATCAAACAAGGAAAGCGAAAACTTGCATTGACATCAGGAAAGGATCAATAAATTCCGATCTCAAACAGCTATCAGACCCAAATGCTTCTGCCCGGTTTCGAACCAGGGACCTTTCGCGTGTAAAGCGAACGTAATAACCACTACACTACAGAAACAGCTGCGACTGTGTTCTACGCCTAAAAATCTCGTGCTTTCAGTAGACATCTAATTTTGGCGTTTTTAGCAGCTATATGAATTCTTAAAGGGGCACTTGGCAACTTTTTCAACTTAATAAACCCGTCTGGAAATCATTTGGATGGTTAAATGGTCTGTTCCGGTGTTAACGGTGACTGTCCCCGCTCCCCCCGGCGCCCCCCCGGTGGAAAACCAGCCTTGCAACTTTGGGACTACCGTCCCGGTAAATTGGAAATGGGAAGTATCGCGAGAAGCGAGAACGAGCGAGAAACACAAACTGCTTTACGGTAATTCAACGTAAACACACACGCCCCCCTCAATAACGGTTAATCACGCCGGCTATACATGTCAGTGTTCTATGATACAGTGTATAATGTACTACCCCACCTCGGTAGACATCGCGCCACACGAAAAAACCCGGCAACAAATGCACATGAGCAGCGGTAGAAAGGGGGAGGAGGGTGCCGCAAGTGAGTTTTTTTTACGACAGTGTTGTGTAATATACGTCCCAGACCTGTAGGGGGAGCTCGTTGAGAAAACATGCGACCACAAAAGTGAAAACCAGCGAAGAAATGGCCAGAGTTGCCAAGTGCCCCTTTAAACGACCCAAATTTCTGGAGGTGCAGGAAGCTGCGTTGTGCAGTTTCTGTCGTGTAGTGGTTATCACCATTGCCTAATACGCGAATGGTCCCCTGTTTGAATCCGGGCAGAAACATCTGGAATTTGATACATTTTTAGAACATTAACGGGAAGGCCATTTGTACCTAGTAAATGTTGACATGATATCAAACAAGAAAATCCAAAACCTGCATTGACATCAGGAAACGATCAAGGAGTTCCGATCTCAACCAGCTATCAGACCCAAATGTTTCTGCCGGTTTCGAACCTGGGAACTTTCGCATGTGAGGCAACGTGATAACCACTAAAAATGTCACGCTTTCAGTAGACATCTACTTTTCTCGTTTTTAGCAGCTGTATGAATTCTTAAATGACCCAAATTTCTGGAGGTGCAGGAAGATGTATTGTGCAGTTTCTGTAGTGTAGTGGTTAGCACGTTCGCCTAACACGCGAAAGGTCCCTGGTTCGAAACCGGGCAGAAACAGTTGGAAATTGATGCAATTTTAGAACTTTAACGTGAAAGCAATTGGGAGATGTTGACACGATATCAAACTAGGAAAGCCAAAATCTGCATTGACATCAGGAAAGGATCAAGGAGTTCCAATCTCAACCAGCTATCAGACCCAATTGTTTCTGCCCGGTTACGAACCAGGGACCTTTCGCGTGTAAAGCGAATGTGATAACCACTACACTACAGAAACAGCGGTATGGCTGTACTTTGCCTAAAAATGTCACGCTTTCAGTAGACATCTACTTTTCTCGTTTTTAGCAGTTGTATGAATTCTTAAACGACCCCAAATTTCTGGAGGTGCAGGAAGATGTATTGCGCAGTTTCTGTAGTGTAGTGGTTATCACGTTCGCCTAACACGCGAAAGGGCTCTGGTTCAAAACCGGACAGAAACATTGGGAATTTGATGCACTTTTAGAACATTAACGTGATTGTAGATGTTGATATGATATCAAACAAGGAAAGCGAAAACTTGCATTGACATCAGGAAAGTAACAATGAGTTTCGATCTCAAATAGCTATCAGACCCAAATGCTTCTGCCCGGTTTTCGAACCAGGGACGTTTCGCGCGTAAAGCGAATGAGATAACCACTACACTACAGAAAAAGCTGGATGGCTGTACTTTGCCTAATAATTTCGAGCTTTCAGTAGCCATCTAATTTTCTCGTTTTTAGCAGCTATATGAATTCTTAAATGACCCAAATTTCTGGAGGCGCAGGAAGCTGCGTTGTGCAGTTTCTGTAGTGTAGTGGTTATCACGTTCGGCTAACACGCGAATGGTCCCCTGTTTGAATCCGGGCAGAAACATATGGATTTTGATACATTTTTAGAATTTTTTAGAAGGGAAAGCCATTTGTATCTAGTAGATGTTGATATGATATCAAACAAGGAAAGCGAAAACTTGCCTTGACATCAGGAAAGTAACAATGAGTTCCGATCTCACCAGCTATCAGACCCAAATGTTTCTGCCCGGTTTCGAACAGGGGACCCTTTCGCGTGTGAGGCGAACGTGATAACCACTACACTACAGAAACAGCTGTATATTTGTACTTTGCCTGAAAATGTCGTACTTTCAGCAGACATCTACTCTTCTCATTTTTAGCAGCTGTATGAATTCTTAAACGACCCAAATTTCCGGAGGTGCAGGAAGCTGCATTGTGCAGTTTCTGTAGTGTTGCGGTTATCACGTTCGCCTAACACGCGAAAGGGCTCCGGTTCAAAACCGGGCAGAAACATTGGGAATTTAATGCAATTTTATAACATTAACGTGATTGTAGATGTTGATATGATATCAAACAAGGAAAGCGAAAACTTGCATTGACGTCAGGAAAGTAACAATGAGTTCCGATCTCAACCAGCTATCAGACCCAAATGTTTCTGCCCGGTTTCGAACCCGGGGACCTTTCTTGTTTGAGGCGAACGTGAAAACCACTACACTACAGAAACAGCGGTATGGCTGTAGTTTGCCTAAAAATGTCACGCTTTCAGTAGACATCTACTTTTCTCGTTTTTAGCAGCTGTATGAATTCTTAAATGACCCAAATTTCTGGAGGTGCAGGAAGCTGCATTGTGCAGTTTCTGTAGTGTAGTGGTTATCACGTTTGCCTAACACGCGAAAGGTTCACCGTTCGAAACCGGGCAGAAACTTCAGGATTTGATACATTTTTAGAACATTAAAGGGAAAGCCATTTGTATCTAGCAGATTTTGACACGATATCAAACAAGGAAAGCGAAAACTTGCATTGACATCAGGAAAGGATCAATAAATTCCGATCTCAAACAGCTATCAGACCCAAATGCATCTGCCCGGTTTCGAACCAGGGACCTTTCGCGTGTAAAGAGAACGTGATAACCACTACACTACAGAAACAGCGGTATGGCTGTACTTTGCCTAAAAATGTCACGCTTTCAGTAGACATCTACTTTTCTCGTATTTAGCAGTTGTATGAATTCTTAAACGACCCAAATTTCTGGAGGTGCAGGAAGATGTATTGCGCAGTTTCTGTAGTGTAGTGGTTATCACGTTCGCCTAACACGCGAAAGGGCTCCGGTTCAAAACCGGAAGGAAACAGGAATTTGATGCACTTTTAGAACATTAACGTGATTGTAGATGTTGATATGATATCAAACAAGGAAAGCGAAAACTTGCATTGACATCAGGAAAGTAACAATGAGTTTCGATCTCAAATAGCTATCAGACCCAAATGCTTCTGCCCGGTTTCGAACCAGGGACGTTTCGCGCGTAAAGCGAATGAGATAACCACTACACTACAGAAACAGCTGGATGGCTGTACTTTGCCTAATAATTTCGAGCTTTCAGTAGCCATCTAATTTTCTCGTTTTTAGCAGCTATATGAATTCTTAAATGACCCACATTTCTGGAGGCGCAGGAAGCTGCGTTGTGCAGTTTCTGTAGTGTAGTGGTTATCACGTTCGGCTAACACGCGAATGGTCCCCTGTTTGAATCCGGGCAGAAACATATGGATTTTGATACATTTTTAGAATTTTTTAGAAGGGAAAGCCATTTGTATCTAGTAGATGTTGATATGATATCAAACAAGGAAAGCGAAAACTTGCCTTGACATCAGGAAAGTAACAATGAGTTCCGATCTCACCAGCTATCAGACCCGAATGTTTCTGCCCGGTTTCGAACCGGGGACCTTTCGCGAGGCGAAACGTGATAACCACTACACTACAGAAACAGTTGTATATTTGTACTTTGCCTGAAAATGTCGTACTTTCAGCAGACATCTACTTTTCTCATTTTTAGCAGCTGTATGAATTCTTAAACGACCCAAATTTCTGGAGGTGCAGGAAGCTGCATTGTGCAGTTTCTGTAGTGTTGCGGTTATCACGTTCGCCTAACACGCGAAAGGGCTCCGGTTCAAAACCGGGCAGAAACATTGGGAATTTAATGCAATTTTATAACATTAACGTGATTGTAGATGTTGATATGATATCAAACAAGGAAAGCGAAAACTTGCATTGACGTCAGGAAAGTAACAATGAGTTCCGATCTCAACCAGCTATCAGACCCAAATGTTTCTGCCCGGTTTCGAACCCGGGAACTTTTCGCGTGTGAGGCGAACGTGATAACCACTACACTACAGAAACAGCGGTATGGCTGTACTTTGCCTAAAAATGTCACGCTTTCAGTAGACATCTACTTTTCTCGTTTTTAGCAGCTGTATGAATTCTTAAATGACCCAAATTTCTGGAGATGCAGGAAGCTGCATTGTGCAGTTTCTGTAGTGTAGTGGTTATCACGTTTGCCAAACACGCGAAAGGTCCCCGGTTCGAAACCGGGCAGAAACTTCAGGATTTGATACATTTTTAGAACATTAAAGGGAAAGCCATTTGTATCTAGCAGATTTTGACATGATATCAAACAAGGAAAGCGAAAACTTGCATTGACATCAGGAAAGGATCAATAAATTCCGATCTCAAACAGCTATCAGACCCAAATGCTTCTGCCCGGTTTCGAACCAGGGACCTTTCGCGTGTAAAGCGAACGTGATAACCACTACACTACAGAAACAGCTGCGACTGTGTTCTACGCCTAAAAATCTCGTGCTTTCAGTAGACATCTAATTTTGGCGTTTTTAGCAGCTATATGAATTCTTAAAGGGACACTTGGCAACTTTTTCAACTTAATAAACCCGTCTGGAAATCATTTGGATGGTTAAATGGTCTGTTCCGGTGTTAACGGTGACTGTCCCCGCTCCCCCCGGCGCCCCCCGGTGGAAAACCAGCCTTGCAACTTTGGGACTACCGTCCCGGTAAATTGGAAATGGGAAGTATCGCGAGAAGCGAGAACGAGCGAGAAACACAAACTGCTTTACGGTAATTCAACGTAAACACACACGCCCCCCTCAATAACGGTTAATCACGCCGGCTATACATGTCAGTGTTCTATGATACAGTGTATAATGTACTACCCACCTCGGTAGACATCGCGCCACACGAAAAAACCCGGCAACAAATGCACATGAGCAGCGGTAGAAAGGGGGAGGAGGGTGCCGCAAGTGAGTTTTTTTTACGACAGTGTTGTGTAATATACGTCCCAGACCTGTAGGGGGAGCTCGTTGAGAAAACATGCGACCACAAAAGTGAAAACCAGCGAAGAAATGGCCAGAGTTGCCAAGTGCCCCTTTAAACGACCCCAAATTTCTGGAGGTGCAGGAAGCTGCGTTGTGCAGTTTCTGTCGTGTAGTGGTTATCACCATTGCCTAATACGCGAATGGTCCCCTGTTTGAATCCGGGCAGAAACATCTGGAATTTGATACATTTTTAGAACATTAACGGGAAGGCCATTTGTACCTAGTAAATGTTGACATGATATCAAACAAGAAAATCCAAAACCTGCATTGACATCAGGAAACGATCAAGGAGTTCCGATCTCAACCAGCTATCAGACCCAAATGTTTCTGCCGGTTTCGAACCTGGGAACTTTCGCATGTGAGGCAAACGTGATAACCACTAAAAATGTCACGCTTTCAGTAGACATCTACTTTTCTCGTTTTTAGCAGCTGTATGAATTCTTAAACGACCCAAATTTCTGGAGGTGCAGGAAGCTGCATTGTGCAGTTTCTGTAGTGTTGCGGTTATCACGTTCGCCTAACACGCGAAAGGGCTCCGGTTCAAAACCGGGCAGAAACATTGGGAATTTAATGCAATTTTATAACATTAACGTGATTGTAGATGTTGATATGATATCAAACAAGGAAAGCGAAAACTTGCATTGACGTCAGGAAAGTAACAATGAGTTCCGATCTCAACCAGCTATCAGACCCAAATGTTTCTGCCCGGTTTCGAACCCGGGAACTTTTCGCGTGTGAGGCGAACGTGATAACCACTACACTACAGAAACAGCGGTATGGCTGTACTTTGCCTAAAAATGTCACGCTTTCAGTAGACATCTACTTTTCTCGTTTTTAGCAGCTGTATGAATTCTTAAATGACCCAAATTTCTGGAGATGCAGGAAGCTGCATTGTGCAGTTTCTGTAGTGTAGTGGTTATCACGTTTGCCAAACACGCGAAAGGTCCCCGGTTCGAAACCGGGCAGAAACTTCAGGATTTGATACATTTTTAGAACATTAAAGGGAAAGCCATTTGTATCTAGCAGATTTTGACATGATATCAAACAAGGAAAGCGAAAACTTGCATTGACATCAGGAAAGGATCAATAAATTCCGATCTCAAACAGCTATCAGACCCAAATGCTTCTGCCCGGTTTCGAACCAGGGACCTTTCGCGTGTAAAGCGAACGTGATAACCACTACACTACAGAAACAGCTGCGACTGTGTTCTACGCCTAAAAATCTCGTGCTTTCAGTAGACATCTAATTTTGGCGTTTTTAGCAGCTATATGAATTCTTAAAGGGGCACTTGGCAACTTTTTCAACTTAATAAACCCGTCTGGAAATCATTTGGATGGTTAAATGGTCTGTTCCGGTGTTAACGGTGACTGTCCCCGCTCCCCCCGGCGCCCCCCGGTGGAAAACCAGCCTTGCAACTTTGGGACTACCGTCCCGGTAAATTGGAAATGGGAAGTATCGCGAGAAGCGAGAACGAGCGAGAAACACAAACTGCTTTACGGTAATTCAACGTAAACACACACGCCCCCCTCAATAACGGTTAATCACGCCGGCTATACATGTCAGTGTTCTATGATACAGTGTATAATGTACTACCCACCTCGGTAGACATCGCGCCACACGAAAAAAACCCGGCAACAAATGCACATGAGCAGCGGTAGAAAGGGGGAGGAGGGTGCCGCAAGTGAGTTTTTTTTACGACAGTGTTGTGTAATATACGTCCCAGACCTGTAGGGGGAGCTCGTTGAGAAAACATGCGACCACAAAAGTGAAAACCAGCGAAGAAATGGCCAGAGTTGCCAAGTGCCCCTTTAAACGACCCAAATTTCTGGAGGTGCAGGAAGCTGCGTTGTGCAGTTTCTGTCGTGTAGTGGTTATCACCATTGCCTAATACGCGAATGGTCCCCTGTTTGAATCCGGGCAGAAACATCTGGAATTTGATACATTTTTAGAACATTAACGGGAAGGCCATTTGTACCTAGTAAATGTTGACATGATATCAAACAAGAAAATCCAAAACCTGCATTGACATCAGGAAACGATCAAGGAGTTCCGATCTCAACCAGCTATCAGACCCAAATGTTTCTGCCGGTTTCGAACCTGGGAACTTTCGCATGTGAGGCAAACGTGATAACCACTAAAAATGTCACGCTTTCAGTAGACATCTACTTTTCTCGTTTTTAGCAGCTGTATGAATTCTTAAATGACCCAAATTTCTGGAGGTGCAGGAAGATGTATTGTGCAGTTTCTGTAGTGTAGTGGTTATCACGTTCGCCTAACACGCGAAAGGTCCCTGGTTCGAAACCGGGCAGAAACAGTTGGAAATTGATGCAATTTTAGAACTTTAACGTGAAAGCAATTGGGAGATGTTGACACGATATCAAACTAGGAAAGCCAAAATCTGCATTGACATCAGGAAAGGATCAATGAGTTCCAATCTCAACCAGCTATCAGACCCAATTGTTTCTGCCCGGTTACGAACCAGGGACCTTTCGCGTGTAAAGCGAATGTGATAACCACTACACTACAGAAACAGCGGTATGGCTGTACTTTGCCTAAAAATGTCACGCTTTCAGTAGACATCTACTTTTCTCGTTTTTAGCAGTTGTATGAATTCTTAAACGACCCAAATTTCTGGAGGTGCAGGAAGATGTATTGCGCAGTTTCTGTAGTGTAGTGGTTATCACGTTCGCCTAACACGCGAAAGGGCTCTGGTTCAAAACCGGACAGAAACATTGGGAATTTGATGCACTTTTAGAACATTAACGTGATTGTAGATGTTGATATGATATCAAACAAGGAAAGCGAAAACTTGCATTGACATCAGGAAAGTAACAATGAGTTTCGATCTCAAATAGCTATCAGACCCAAATGCTTCTGCCCGGTTTCGAACCAGGGACGTTTCGCGCGTAAAGCGAATGAGATAACCACTACACTACAGAAAAAGCTGGATGGCTGTACTTTGCCTAATAATTTCGAGCTTTCAGTAGCCATCTAATTTTCTCGTTTTTAGCAGCTATATGAATTCTTAAATGACCCAAATTTCTGGAGGCGCAGGAAGCTGCGTTGTGCAGTTTCTGTAGTGTAGTGGTTATCACGTTCGGCTAACACGCGAATGGTCCCCTGTTTGAATCCGGGCAGAAACATATGGATTTTGATACATTTTTAGAATTTTTTAGAAGGGAAAGCCATTTGTATCTAGTAGATGTTGATATGATATCAAACAAGGAAAGCGAAAACTTGCCTTGACATCAGGAAAGTAACAATGAGTTCCGATCTCACCAGCTATCAGACCCAAATGTTTCTGCCCGGTTTCGAACAGGGGACCTTTCGCGTGTGAGGCGAACGTGATAACCACTACACTACAGAAACAGCTGTATATTTGTACTTTGCCTGAAAATGTCGTACTTTCAGCAGACATCTACTCTTCTCATTTTTAGCAGCTGTATGAATTCTTAAACGACCCAAATTTCCGGAGGTGCAGGAAGCTGCATTGTGCAGTTTCTGTAGTGTTGCGGTTATCACGTTCGCCTAACACGCGAAAGGGCTCCGGTTCAAAACCGGGCAGAAACATTGGGAATTTAATGCAATTTTATAACATTAA